GTGGTGTAAAGCACGCCACCACCACTGGACTCTAGAGCAGTGGAGACATGTTCTTTGGAGTGATGAATCATGTTCTCTGTCTGATGTCCAATGGACATGTCTGGGTTTGGCAGTTGCCAGGAGAACAGTACTTGCCTGACTGCATTGTGTCAAGTTTAAAGTTTGATGGAGGGGGGATTATAGTGTGGGGTTGTTTTTCAAGGGTTGGGTTTGGCCCCTTAGTTCCAGTGAAAGGAAATCTTAAGGCATCGGCATACCAAGACATTTTGGACAATTTCATGCTTTCAACTTTGTGGGAACAGTTTGGGGATGGTCTCTTCCTGTTTCAACAGGACTGTGCACCAGTGCACAAAGCAAGGCACATAAACACCTGACCTCAATAGAACACCTTTGGGATGAATTAGAGCAGAGACAGTAAGCCAGGCCTTTTTCCCCGACATTAGTGCCTGATCTCACAAATGCGCTTCTGGAAGAATGGTCAAACATTCCCATAGACACACTCCTAAACCTTGTGGACAGCCTTCCCAGAAGGGCTGAAGCTGTTATAGCGGCAAAGGGTGGGCCAACTCAATATTGAATCCTACTGACTAAGACTGGGATGCCATTAAAGTTCATGTGCATGTAAAGGCAGGCGTCCCGCTTGACAAGATATTGTATCTCAATATGCTTACTCCTTGGCTATACTTCTTATACTTGGGTGAGTATTAGAGATAATTACCATACCCCATATTCTGAATTTTGTCTCTTCCTGCAAATCAAACACTGGCTTACCATCGAATCAGATTTCCCTTTTTTAACATATCTGCTATTTTAAGCCTCTCTCCCTGACTGATATCAATCCTTTACGCAGAAAGCAGTTTGTGTGCTTTGTTGAAGTTTGCAGACGAGTCAACTCTTTTTTATTATTGAAAACTTACTAGCATTCTTTTAGACACACACAGGAAATTCCTTAAAGTGTGGATTCTGTGGATTCAGCATGCTTATCCTTCAATGCCCATTGCAAGTTACACTCCTTTTATAGGTGCTGGGCTTCACTGTCCCCTCCCTCTCTCTAAACACTTCCTTACATCTCCCTGCTGTAGAGATTCCTTTATTCCTTTTCTTGTTTTCATCTTGAAGTAGACTCCACTATCCAGCTGGACTTGACATGAAATCCTGGCCAGTATCTGGTTAGCAGCAAAAACTTTTACCAGTTAGTTACTGATCATCTTTTTTTTACTGGCCTATTAACCTGAATACTTACAGATTTCCATTGTGCCTACAAATTAATTTAAGTTAATGGTGACTATAGGTTTTGTGACTAATAGTGTATTGTTCTTATTAGTCTGCTCCATTACATTACAATCTGTAATACTTTCATAAAAATGTATTGAAAGTAAAAACCAACTAAACCCAAGGAATGAAAAGGGCTGACCAGAAACTGCCTTCAACGGAAGAGGCTAGATGACGTTGATTGTATCTTTTTTGCTGCATCTTCTAGTGCACATTGAGAGAAGCTCACACTTTGCAGTAAAATCAGAATAAACCATTTTCAGTACAAAAGAAGAGCCTGTGACACTTTGCAAGACTGAAGATAAGGTTTGAGTTCTTTAAACGTAATTTATAACACTAACAATTCTATGCTTCCAGTTTCCATTTTGCAAATCTGCACCTGATATAGCTGTTATTTCATATAGAATAAGTCAAAATTTGGTAAGGGACACTCAAAAAAGATGCTGAGCAATAATTACAACTAAAAAAGCATTTAAGTTTACCAGTCATTTTAGGTGAGCACTGGATCTAAATTGAATGAAGCACATATGTTTCATGAAAGATGATAATAAGTTAAAGAAAATAAACTCTGATACTGGGCATTCTGCACTGGTATGCGTTTACTCAGCACAATCAGAATGGTCTTTGAGGAATAGGATCTTAGAACAGGACACATGAATATTCGAACAAGTGGTTGTAAAGGTAGAAGGTTTTTTCCCTTCATGCAATCCCACAAAGTTGGGAGCATGCAATTGTCCAAAATGGCTTGGTATGCTGATGCATTAAGAGTTCCCTTCACTGGAACTAAGCCCAACCCCTGAAAAACAACCCCACACCATAATCCCCCCTCCACCAAACTTTACACTTAGCATAATGCAGTCAGGCAAGTACCATTTTCCTGGCAACCGCCCAACCCAGAAACGTCAACTGGATTGCCAAGCAGAGAAGCGTGATTCATCACTCCTGAGATTCTGAAGGTCCCTCTGCACACTGGTATATACCCTCTCAAGCAGACTCTGAAATAAATAGGGATATTTGGTTCACACATATTGCAATACATGTTTAAGCTGGCCAACTGCTTCAAAGTAATCCCTCTATGGCCAGTCCTACTCTGCTCTGCCTACGCAAATGCTACTGTGGACACAATGCCAACATAGGGGAAAAAGACAAAGTGTGGGAGAGCTACCAGGTTTAGGTTTAGCTACTGACCCACAATACAACAAACTCTAGTGTTGTATAGTGAAATTCTAGTGTTAATATGTGGTTATACCCCTTTAGCACCTGATGGATAAATGCATGTACTAGCTATTGGGATTTGAGCACAGGGATTGTTTGTCACTCCAGAGAACACGTCTCCACTATTTTAAAGTCCAGTGACAGTATGTTTTACACCACTGCATCCGAAGATTTGCATTGCACTTGGTGATGTAAGGTTTGGATGCAGCTGCTCGGCCATGCAAACCCATTTCATAAAGCTTTCTTGGCTCGCTTGGCCCCTTAGTTCTAATGAAAGGAACTCTTAAGGTGTCATCATACCAAGACATTTTGGACAATTGTATGCTCCTAACTTTTTGGGAACAGTTTGGGGATGGCCCCTTCTTGTTCCAACATGACTGCACACCAGTGCACAAAGCAAGGTCCATAAAGACATTGATGAATGAGTTTGGGGTGGAGGAACTTGACTGGCCTGCACAGAGTCCTGACCTCAACCTGACAGAACACCTTTGGGATGAATTAGAGTGTAGACTGAGAGCCAGGCCTTTTTGTCCAACATCAGTGCCTGACCTCATAAATGTGCTTTTGGAAGAATGGTCAAACATTCCCATAAACACACTCCTAAACCTTTTAGACAGCCTTCCCAGAAGAATTGAAGCTGTTATAGCCACAAAAGTTGGTCTAACTCAATATTAAACCCCACGGACTAAGACTGGGATGCCAGCAAAGTTCATGTGTGTGTAAAGGCAGGCATCACAATACTTTTGTTAATATAGTGTGTGTATATATATATATATATATATATATATATATATATATATTGGAAAGAATATATCTTCTTTTCTTCTCTTGTCCTCTGTGGCCAAGATTTGATCACTGCAGTAACAAATAGCATTGTGCCCTTGACTTTTTCATCTGTTTCGATCTTTAGTTCATGTAATTCATCTGGGTTTTAAAGCTTCCAAAGCAATATTCCTTTGATATCAGCAATGAAAAAAACGATGGAATTTACTGTATTATGGAAGGACATGGAAGCCTGTTTTTCAAGGCTTCATCTTCAAGGATTAGAGGGTTAAATACTGCTGCCCTTGGTACCATAGCAATTCCACCATAATGTCAATGTATCAACCATGACTTCTGAAAACAGAGGAAATTCTGAAATTTTAAATGCCATCAGGAACTATAAAGTATAGGTGTGAGATACACAGACACATAATAAAATATATGCCACACGAAAACCCTGATGCTTAGTTTTCATGTGGTCAGACCAAATTTTACATTTAATTTACTGATGAAACCTGCTTTCCGGACATTACAGTTTATATTTTTAGCCTATACCTATAATACTGATCAATAGCAGTTTTGATTTTGTACACTGCACATTATCTCGCAAAAATCACTAAAATTGATTTAGAATTAAAACAAATAATAACCCCCAAATTTATTCTAAATGTTTAGAGAGACTCACTGGAGTATAACTAGGTGCCTGCACTTCTTTTTTGCTGCATTTTGCCACTAGGACTGAATTTCAGCCAAATGCAAAGTTCGACTCAATTTTTGCTTGTCCAGCAAACTGGACATGCAAAGGTATTTGCTACCAACAATAAATTAATTATTCCTGCTGTACAGGATGCACAGTGGCATTGATTGCTAAGAGGCTGGGGCCCTCACCATCTTAGCAACCCCTATCCCAAAGTCTTCCAGCTTGTAAACAGGCAAGTGGGCATCACAGAAGACATTCTTGACCAAATATGTCGGTTTATATATCCCGGTCTATATATCCCGGTCTCTTTGTTTACATTCAGCTGGGACCTGTCAGAATTAGTGAGTGTCATAGCAATATTTTTATCAAAACAATCAACATTTTTTACCAGGCAGTCAATTTTAATTGTATATGTTTTTAAACATGCACAATATATTATTTAAGATCAAAACTAGAAAATTTGGAGTTGAGGAATTACCCTTTCTAACCTAAGGTATTTGAGGATAAGTTCACCTTTTACAACATCTTACATGTTACATGTGTACTCAGGGTGTAACATGTAACTGATGCAGCAGCCCCTGAAACTCCCTCCCCCGATCCCCCATTGTGAAATCGGGCACAATTGCTGTCACAAAAAAAACATACCGGGTGGGTAGGGTCATCTATTCACAGAGTTATGTGAATGGGTGAACTACAGTTACTGTCAGCCTTTGTGGCTGAAGGCTTGTAGTTCTCAATGGACCACCAGGGTGCTGATGAGCTCTCTAGGTAGTTAGTTGGTGCTTCTTGTCATTCAGTAACTACCAGCCCATATGAGGTATGGGCAGTCATTCAGTAACAGACAGCTACACTCAGGGATGGACTGACCATTTGGAAACTCGGGCACTGCCCGAGGGCCAGGGGTCAGTAGGGGGCCCCTGGTACCTTTTTCATAGGCTTTTTTGAGTTTGGGCAAGGACACAGGGGCCCATGATCCCCTATTTCCCGGGGGCCCTATGAGTTGTCAGTCTGCCCCTGGCTACACTGATAGTGTGAAGGATCTGTAAATGACATCCATGATCTGCTGATCATGCATGCAATGCTTTACAGATACCTGATAGAAAAAAATTATAAATGCACATTTTTTTTACCTAAAAAAAAGATGTGCATTTATTTTTTTTTAAAATGATGAACTTATCATTTAAAGATGCAAGCTTTTCGAATCCCACAAATCCCTTCTTCAGGTCTTATACAATTCTTGAACTGGGTCCTAAACCCACACAGTTATCTGCAAAGTAGATACATTGAAATATTTAAATTTCATTGTACCTACTTGTAACTCTATGTATAACACCAATCTACTGTTTCTGGTGGCATAAGGTTTTTACAAGAAGTTTCTACAGTACAAGCTAGGCTGGATGCTTGGTTTCAACTAGTAAACTAGTAAAAGTGTACCCATTTGTTGAACAGGAAAAATAAGGAAGTACATGGTGGTGCAGTAACTGGGAATTAGTCCAGGACAATTTTCAGATTTCAGCAGTGTCAGACTTTGAATGGCAATTACTCAACCATGCAACACTGTACGCAAATTAAATTTTTACCATTTTTTGAGACAGAGCTTTCTTTTGGTGGTATTTAATCATCACTGGATTTTTTTATTTTTTTGCTATATAAATGAAAAAATACCAAATGTAAAAAATATAAAATTTTGCAAATAAATAATCTTTCTTCATAAAAATAACTCAAATCAGAGTATACTATTTACTTGGTGCGAAAGGTTATAGAGTCTACAAAAACTATGGTTATCCAGTATATTTGAAAATGGATCAATACTGATGTACTGACTGTTTATCACTAGCTCCTCCCTCTTAGATTATAAGCTCCAAGGAGCAGGGCCCTCCTAACCCTCTTGTATTGAACTGTATTGTTGCTGTATTGTCTCCCATTATATTGTAAATCGCTGAGCAAACTGTTGGCGCTATATAAATCCTGTATAAAAATAATAATAATAAAATGATATCTCATTTCTTGAGATCCTAAAATGGCTGGACAGTACAAATGATCACTTTTTGGAAAGTAGATAGTTCAAGGTCCAAGGTAAAAAACATGGAGAGTTTCTGGAAGTTGTATTTTTTGTCACTTTTTTTTTTAGAAAATTAAGACATCTTTTTTTACAAAGTTTACCAACTTTTACAAAGTTGCCATTTTCCTAAAAAAGTTATTTCTCACGCAGCATAGACATACTTGAAATTACACCCTAAAACATATGGGATACCACATGTGTTAGACTCTTTCACTGATTAGATACATTAAAAGGGCCCAAAATCCAAGAGCACCTTTGGGCTTTCACCAGAAATTACTTATCTAATTTCCTGACTATCTATCATATTTTTAGAGGCTCTGAAGCACTAGGACAGTGACAACACCTACAAAATGACCCTATTTTGGAAAGAAATACACACCAAGGTATTTTCTGAAAAGCAAAGGTAATCTTTTAAAATGTCATTTTATTCCTCATTAGTTGGAAAATACAGGAAAGAAAATGAAAATGTATTTTATTTTACACAAAGTTGTCAATCAATAAAATATTTCGAACGCACATCATAGGCATACTTAGAATTACACCCCAAAACAAATTCTACTACTCCTTTGGCGGCGGTACCACTTGTGTGAGGCTTTCAAGGGACATAAGGGGCATCTAATTTCCTAACTATACATCAGATTTTTTGAGGTCCTGGAGCACAAGGACAATGGAAATACCCATAAAATTACCACATTTTGAACAGTAAACATCCCAAGGTAATTTTTAAGAGACATGGTGGGTCTTATGAAAACATCTTTTTTGCCACAAGCTATTGAAAAATGCAGAAAGTAAATGAAAATTATTTTTTTACACAAACTTTGCAATTTAATAGGATATTTTGTACATACAGCATACTTAGAATTAAACCACAAAAACACATTCTGTTACTCCTCCCAAGTATAGCCATACCAAGTAATCTGTTACATGATTACATCTGTAAAGTTATGGGCCATTACTGGCGCATTTGTGCAAGTACTCCACAGCAAGAGAAACAGATCCAAAAGTAAGTGGAAAATGTAGAGGACCTCTTGTAAAGCAGCCAAACAGATGCCCAAGTATCTCAGATTACTCCAGTTCCCAAAGCAAGAATAAAAGACAGGAAAGGCCTAAACCCTTAGTTAAGGCCTCACCTGACACTTCAGACACTGCCAAAAGTAACTCTATCATCCCATCAAGAAAAAAACAATGCACACCAGTCAGCTAAAAATGAAGGCATGGATAAAAGTGAGTTAAGAGAGGAGTTTAAGCCCAGATTGCTAAATCTGAGGTTTTCTTCTTGAAGCATATTGTCAGATAAGCTTCCTTTCCCCTATAATGTCTGCCCAGGTTGAAGGCATCTATTTGAAGACTCTTCGACTTTGAGGGAAAAGGAACACTGATATACAGAGAAATTTAAAAATATATATAAATACAATAAGCATCTGACTTTGCAGAAGTTGTAAGATCTATAAATATGGGATATTTGATTTGAGAAATCTCCATATATTAGGTATATTCTGGTTAACTTGATGTTCAACCCCTCAGTCATTGGACAACCATGGACCTTTGATAAATTCACCATTGTTTGTCTTTGACCCTTGGGTCTACTAAGAATTCCTTATTTGAAGTGACAAATA